GAAGTTGCTTTAACATCATGAGATAGATAATATGAGCATTAACAAGCAACGCAAAAGTAAAAATCTATCAAATAATGAAGCTAACTAACTAGCAACATGTAGGCTATGTGCTTGCTTCAATAAAAATGACGCTAACTAGTCACTAGCTAGTTATAATGAAGCTAACTAGTTACTAGCAAACTAGGTATAATGAAGCTAACTAGTTACTAGCAAACTAGTTACTAGCGACCTAGTTATAATAAAGGTAACTAGTTACTAGCAAGCAAGTTATAATGAAGCTAACTAGTTACTAGCAAGCTAGTTATGATGAAGCTAACTAGTTACTAGCGACCTAACGTTATAATGAAGCTAACTAGTTACTAGCTAGCTAGTTATTAGTTATCTAACATTAAAAACATTTTTCTATTTAATGAGAAAGTTATACAAACCTCAAAGTGTTAACCTGTCACCTCTGACCTTCAACAGCTGTCACAGCTGTCACAGCCCCTGGTTCAGATGGGATGTGTTGTTGCAGGAACTGATTTGCTATAGGCTACTCCTGACTGGTCGAAATCTCATGCTACTTAGGACAAATGTAATGTACAGAAGTAGCTGCACTGCTTAAATACAAAATTAATGTTTTTGAAGGAAAAGATAAGTAAAGTCACTCTGATGACACAATTTTTATGTGAAATGTGCATATTTACCCCCAATTGTCATGGTATGGGGAAAATTGTTGGTTTTTTAAACTTGAAACCAATTTTATTGGATTCCTTGACCCCAAAAATGTACACTTTGACACAAAATTTGTCATTATAGCTATAACAGAAGCAAAGATATGGGCTCTAGAGTATTTTCGGCGCATTGGCGGCCATTTTTGAAAAAACTTGTTTATTTCTGATACAAAGTGTGATCTCACTTGTGTCTTAGGATAAATTTATTTGTATGACCCTTATAGGGCTGGGCGACATAGCGTGGTTTGTTCGCTGTTGGACGCCACAAAACCAAACCAGTTCCAAACAACCGACGACACTGTGCCTTTTTTGGGGACGAGCTCATCCTGGCTTGCTGCCATGTTTGTTTATCTGTGGAGAGGCGGGGGGAGGGGTCAGCGCACTCTGACCTACGGGAGCCCAAAGGGAGCGCCGGTGTTGTGGAAGTTCAAGAGAAACCGATTTTAACTAAAATAAATCGTGTTTAACTACGAATTTGAATTAATCGATAAAATCGATTTATCGCCCAGCCCTACTTCAGTATTAGAAAACCCAATTATTAACCAGTTTTATAATGCATTATTATAATTAAACAGTTTAAAAAGTCTTTTTATTCCAGGCTTCACATATAAGCATAGGCTTGGTCCACAAAAACACATGCAGCACCTACAGCCAAGCTGTCAACATGGCAGAGTGTACTGTTCTGTTCTGTAACTGGTCCAGGTATTGGGTCTATAGACAAATTAGGTTCTCTTTTCATATGAGAAAAATATGTGCTCTGAAGGGGTTGATGAGGCAGGGATGCAATGCAAAGCAAGTGTTTCTCTAGCATTTACTCTCAAACAGCAGCTCACATTGCTTTCTCTTTTCCCCCATCCACACACGCACACCAGCAGCTCTGCTCCACTCTGCACACACACTGGCTTGCCCCGTCTCTTTCTATTTCTCTCTCTCCAGCAGTTTGTTTCATAAAGGCCCCCCAAAAAAAACGTTTTGGATTTTTCACCCAATTATTCACACAATCAGATGAGCCTCGTATGGAGGACACTTGTTGTTAATGAGTCTGTGGAAACCAAAAGTGAAACCAACGTGGTACCAAATGCTTCACCTGGTCCATGCTTGTAAAATATCCACTGAGGTACCAGAGAACGCTTTTCTTTGCTATGCGTTTCTCTGCAAAATGCTCAAATGGTTACTGGACGTTAAAATACCTGGGTGACCTGTGCAACTAAAGTCTTATGTGGGAGATTTGGTGCGTGCTTAATTGTAAATTTGTACAAAGGTTCTAAATAAAAAAGAGAAAAATAATCAAATATGAGAAAGTACCTTTCTTATTTGTTGAGTAAATAATTCAAAAAATATGATTTTATATAAACTATTTATTTGTGGAATTTACAGAACTTGTGCTATATTGTGATATATATATCGTCATCAGGATATGAAATGAGCTATGTCCGGATATGAGATTTATCTTACATTGTACTATCAGTGGTTTCCATTAGACCATGATCAAGTTCATGTTCATATGGTTCTAGGCTAGTTATTCACAGGGTGTCTAAATGTGTTTTTGGGAAATTCAATCATGCTGTTAGCAACTACAAAACAAACCAGATATGGAACCCATTTTCCTTCAGATTCTTCATACTTGTCCTCGCCAGTATGGACATAAAATAGTTCTTAAATTGCATTTGCAATGGTCTTACCTGCAGAAATCCTGTATTCAGTGAACTTTCTCTCTCCTCTCCTCTCCTCCCGTGTGTCCTCTAAGCAGTGAGAAATGTCGGTCCACTGTGGAGCTTCCCAATGGTCCTCTAGAGGAGATGTCAGCCCTTGAGGAGGCTAAGTAAGTCTTTGCGAGAGTTGAATCTTGAGGTTAAGATGTTTTTTATTACTGTCTGTCTTCAAACTGACCCTCGTCTCTACTTTTCTTCCCAGACCGGACCAGAGTGCAGTGTCCTCAGAGCCAGCTGTAAACGGGCCGGCGTGAGGGTCTCCTTATGCCAGCCAATGGCCAGCCTGTTCTGCCACGCAGGGCCCACCTCCTGGCCAGCCGGCGGAGGCCACTGCTCAGAGCTGTACCAATCACACGCCCCCCCACCAGGACCAGCAATACACCCATCGGCTCATCACTGACAGACAGACAGACAGACAGGTGTACAGACACAGGATGAACTGAAAAGCAAAATGAGAGACATACTCAAATGGATACAGAATAATTTTTTTCAGCATTTGTTTATATACTATTGTTCTTATGAGGTGATGTGCGACTGATATCTTGCCACTCAAAATTAAATAGTAATGTTGCTATAGTTAAAGAAATGATTGTATGAATAAAATATTTTATAAAAAGAAAAATGTATACAGAAACATAAGATGAATTACCACCGGAATAGCTGATTGGTGACCCAACCAACCACTGAGCTGTTGTTATTGCTGGATCTGTTATCCTGCAGTCTGACACTTAATACAACAGTTGCTATATTTAAAATTCTCACCCATTGGTCTGTGTGTCTGAGCAAAGCTGCTCCCACGAATTGAAACACATTTTTAAAAACCACACTTTATTTTGCTGCAGGTATGATTTGTAAATGTTTTCTCTTGTATTCTGCATTAAGTACGATTTGAGAAGCTTTTGGTATTTTTTTTTAATTTATTATGAAAGTAAGATGATGGTTATGTTTTGTTACTAAAGAGCCATGCCAACACACTCTCTCTCCCCTTCTAGCAGGCTGCATTCATGCTAACTGGGTTCCAACCTCGCAGCTAGAAGGCTAAACAGGAGAGATACAGTATGTCGTTAGCACAGCCTGAACTGAGGGCTGTAAATCTATTCTGACCTCTACTAAACTTCAACTGTGATTTTAAGGGTTCTATATGTAACTTTCAGTAAAACCATTGTTAATAGTGATACCTTTGGCCGTCAGTGAACTGCAGTGAGCGTCCTGTTGCTCTGGCTGTGTACAAAGACAGTAGAAAGCAACCATTAGCTTTTAACCGTTACATCATTTGTTGTTGACTAAAATCAATACAGTTTGTCATAATGCTTATGTTAGTATCATGGAACGTGTTAGCTGGTGAAGTCATTTTTCACCAGCTAGCCAGATCAGCCCCGGGAGTCTGGATGACGCAAGTTGACAGTATTTTGCTACCTTAGCTAGCCGTTCGTCCGCATTAGCAAACTAGCTACCATTAGCCAGCTAAAAGTAAAATATCGCAATATATTCCACAAGCTTTACAGTAACGTTAGCTCTGACTTTGGACTTTGTGTTGGACTCTCTTGTGGTGGATGGTAGTGGACTCTTTTATCTCATTTATAAGCTAATGTTAGCTAGTGTTGCACACGGATGACACTGTAGGGAAGGGGAGAGAGAAGGCACTAAAGGTCACTAAAAATCCAACCCGCATCCCTACACAGAAACACATAGAAATCAGTCCACCGGCAGCAGGGAAGTCAGTCTTTATTTTATTTTTTATTTTTAAGTCATGTTCACTCATTGGCATTAAAAATAATACGTAAAATGTTTCTGAATCTTGCATATGGAACCTTTAAGTAGCTACAGCATTGTAAAGAACTTAAAAGGGGAGTGAAAGGACTGTTAAAGACAAACTACATGCAGGAACATGAAATTAAATTGCAAGAAAAACATTTTGCAAATGAGTTTCCCTCCCGAACTTCAGCCAGCCTTGTGGCGCCAGGTTTGGTTCAGTCACATTCTGATAAGAATTTATACCTGAAGGGAGCTAGTTAAAATGGTCAAGATATTAGCTGCTGAGCGAGTTCCAAACACAGGTTTTTGTTAGACTGCGTTCAGACTGACAGCACATGTGTGACAGCACATCTCCTTTCAAGGTGTTGTTGGCAGGTTGGGGGCAGACACAGGGCTCAGGCAGAGAAGTCCATATGTTTACTGTAATGCAAAGTGACACCTGACAGCGCACTGTGTTGACCAATCAAATCAGTGAAAGTTATGGCTTTGTGATATGGTAAAAAAAATCATTGTTTATTTTGACAAACATTGCAAATAGTAGGAATGGTCATTTTTGCATCTCAATTTTCATTTTCACAGGAAAAGCTATTAAAATCCCGATGTGACATTTGTTGGGGTCTGTAGCAAGCACACGTTTTCTTACATCTGGAGAGGATGTGTAGACCAGGACACCTCTGCAGCACTACAGTACTTCATTATAATTCTGTCTGTCACATTTTCCCTTTGTCAAACATATTGCAGCTTCTGTGATTTTGATAATATTTTAATTAATTGTGCAGCCCTGGTGAAAGTGCACATTACTGGTAGATTGTTTTCTAAGGTGTGAACAGTGAAAATCTACAGTTCACCTGTTAATCTCAGACGTATAAATCAAACTTGCCGCCTTCCTTCCAAGGAGTATCCAAAGCAACACAGCTCCCACCAGACCCTTGTGTTCTGCAGCGATGTTTAATTCAAGTTGTTTTTAGTGCTATTGTTAGTCTGACTGCACCCTTGTTAGTTCTTTGAATCTGCCTTCATGAGGTGTTGGATGGATTTAAATGTCCAGTGTGTAGACTTTAGTGGTATCCAGCAGTGTAGTCACAGATTGCAACTCCATCTCTTCACCCTCGCCTTCTAAGTGTGAAGGAGAAACTACAGTGGCCGCTGAATGCATGATAAACACCCCACCCCTGTCTACAGGCAGTGTTTGGTTGGTCCTTTCTGGGCTACTGTAGAAACATGGCGGCCTCCATGGAAGGCGACCCGCTCCCTCTGCAGGAAAATGTATGGCCCTCAGGCTGCCAGGTGCTTCATTTTTTTTTCTTAACATTATAAAGGAACAACTGTTGCCATGGGCCAATTGGTAGTCTACTTTTAATACCGTCCACACTAAATTAACTTTGGCGCTCAATCTGAGTGCAGCTGGGATTTCTATGTTGCTTCTGCAGCCTCCCTGTTTTCCATGGAACCCCTCCCTGTCCCCTCACCAAATGTGACCTTTTTTTTTTTATTTATTTATTTTTTCATCTGGTTGGGGTTTGGTTCCAAAGAAAATGGTTTTGTGACTCAAAGTTTTCTGTACCAGCACTGGAGAGGGATAGTACAACGTAACCCCACTTTTTTGTCAGATCATTAATTAATTAAATTTAATCTTTATTTCTGAAGCTGTTTCTTGAATACTCTCATTATAAGACTTTGAAACGCATTCCAGATGGTTAAAATCAGACACTGATTACATCTGCACACATTTATGGGTCATTTCTTTCATCCGATGAAATAATTTCACCAGGATCTGAATTTACATTTGATGTGACTTTGCATAGATGTTAGCAGTGGCTTTAAAGGCTTTCCTGCATTGAAAACCAGTGTAAATGTTAATGCAGAAGGTGGACTATGGAGAAGTTCTGGATTTCAATGCCAGCCATAGTTGAAGAGCAGTGACGTCAGCACCGCTGACAGTTCCTGCACTCACAGAAAACCTGGAAAAGGTCAGTCATTTCTTTTTGTTTTTCCATTTGAACATAAGTAATGGAAGTGCAGCCCAAACAAAACTTGGAGCATAAATTAAACTTACATTGAATGTTTAAAAAACAGCTTTCTAATACTATTTATCAAGGCAAAGCTTCATTAATAAAAGTTAGATTATTTCTTTGTTAGAATCATGTTTAAAAACCTTTTCTGAGACCTTCAGTACTACTTACCTCTTCCTAGTAGTAGTAAGTGGTACTAAAGAATGTACAAGAAGCTGGAGTTGATGTTAAAAATTTTACTTTATACTGTACTTCCTGGTCCAAACCTAAAAAGAGGTAAGTAAGAAGTTTACAGCATAGACCCGAATTTCTTGTTTTGTATGTACGTAATATTGCTTCAGTTAGTTTTTGTTTTCTAAATTCTAATTTTAATTTTACTGTCACTTAACTGAAATGTTAGTTCACACCTAAGTTTCAACTAACCATAATAACCCTGATACAGTCCCAAACATTTCTTATGACAAGCTGCAAATGAAGTTTAATTAGGGACTTAATGTTTGTGTTGAACAATTGATTAATGTATGTGTAGATAGTATTCAAACGAAGGTTGAAGAACAAGCAGTTGTGCACCAGCAGTGGATGTTAAGTTGAATGTTAAGAAAAAGTTCGAAAATAACGCCCAGGGAATGTGTATTGTTTAGGCAACGTTCATAGAACATTCCCTGGAATGGAAATGAAACAATAGGAAAATGTGACGTGTGATGGCAGTGGGCGGCAGCTTCTTCCGGCTCCCTGCAGACGGTGGGCGGAGCCACCTCCAGATAGACACACCCATCAAACTCAGTTCAACTTTCAGGGAACGTTTCGTAAAGGATCTTTGAAGGTTGCTTTTTCCGAACCTTCACATAAGATTCTCTAAATGTTCTGTAAAGAACTGTTCTGTGAACGTTGCCTAAGGGTTAGTTTGTAAAGTTTTCAAACATTACAGCAAAGTTTGTTCAACACACTGTTTTTGTATTGTCCCACTAACGTTTAACGAACGTTCCAGATCTGGAAATCAGGATTGAGTATTCACCCTGACCCTGGTATTGTGTTATACAGATAGATTGTATACACACATATGGGTGTAATGTTCTAAGGGTGGAAAAGGCAACAATATGGCAGAACACCAAAACACATTGTGAAATGTGCAGCACATGTGCAGAGGCGGATCTAGCTGCCATCCTAAAAAATGTCTTGCCAACCAGTTTGATGTCAAATGTAACTAATTAATTTAGAAAATAGTGTGTTACGGGGGGACATAAAAACAAATGAACAGGAACTAGGGCTGCAACGATTCCTCGAGTAACTCGATTGCAAAAAATGATCGAGGAATTTCCT